CACAGGAAGTTCCGTCTGAACATGAGGAAGAACTTCTTCCCTCTGAGGGTGACGGAGCATTGGAACAGGCTGCCCAGGGAGGTTGTGGAATCTCCTTCTCTGGAGATATTCAAGACCCGCCTGGACAAGATCCTGTGCAGCCTACTGTAGGTGACCCTGCTTCAGCAGGGGGTTTGGACTAGATGACCCACAGAGGTCCCTTCCAACCCCTACTATTCTGTGATTCTGTGATTCTGTGATGGTTATTGATAGAAACAGCGGGCTCAAGTTCCTTAGGTGTGATATTTCAAATCAAATTAAAACAATTGTTTCCTACTAACTTGTGCAGCAGTAAAATATAATTTTCCTACATAATTTAGTAACTCGTTTTACCATTGTTTTTATAATTCATCAACCACTGTGTTAGCTGGAGTGATGGAGAGGCATTATTTCTAGAGTTTACAAAACATATCTCTAGAGAGATTCCCTCAACATAAACTATTATTTTTTGTGTCACGAAAGCTTTACTAAAGCAACTGGAAAATATCATCAGCTATGTCTCCGAAGTTTCAGTTCGAGTACTGTTACTTTGAAAGTCCTATTTTTTCATGTCTTGCAGGTATTCATTAATTTTGCTACACAAGAGCAAGGAGTCTCGCATTCTTCACAAGAATCTCGTGGTGTTCGTCATGACCACCTGCCAGTCTAGGCTGAGAATAGGATACAGCTTCAGCAGCATGTCTGTGTATGTTTGTATATATACACATGCATTTTGCATGGAGCAATTTTTCAGCGGTTAACAATTTGTGTGTGAGAAACAAGTAGTAGAAGCAGAGGTGAGCTGGCATTTGTAGGCCAGAAGGAATGATACCAATACTCGGTAAAACAAGAAACTGGTTACATGCAGACCAAAAATCTGCCAAGAAGTAATAATTTTTAATGAACTGGACTTTTATCACATAAGTGGCTTAATTTAATGTAGCTTTCTTTTAAAAAAAAAAAAAAGTTGATTTAAAATGTCACAGTCTATAGTAGATTTTTTTTGTGGTGGTAGATCTACATTCATTTGACTACAGTAGTCTCTTGCATGCACACTTAATATCTAACTTTTATATGACAAGGCAAGAAAAAACCATTGAATAGTAGCAGTAGCTAGGCTGTCACCCAATATTTGTAATTAATAACATAAATTGAAAGCCTTTTGACTTCCACATTAGTTCAGTTCTGTGTTGTGACAAGATAAATTAGCTTTTATATTGTAGAAAGGATGCACTATATTCCATAAGTTTTTATGTTAAAGAGGTTATTAGTCTACTAGTCTGCCTCCCAGTTATCTTCAGTAAATTTAACAAGGTTTCATAAATTATACTTGACAATGAGTTTTCCCTTATGCCTGCGGGTTGCTGCTGGAAGAGTTTTCAAGTATCTTTTTAATCACCTATTTCCTTTTCCTCATATTTTTGTTTCTTTTTTTTCCAAAAAGAATATCAAAATTCTGTTTAATGGGCATATTAAAAGAATATAAGCTAAGTGTTCAGACACTGATCAATAAACTTTTCAATAAATGTATATTATCCAGAGAAGACCATGCCACAGCCTTCAGCTTATACATGTGTAAAAGAAGAGAACATTTCATGAATAAAAACTCCTTGTGTATTGTAGTGGGAGAAGAAAATTACTAAAAAATTTTGGAGTAAACTGCTGCCTCTTCCAAAACAAGTCTTTGGGGCTCCTGTGAAAAGTAGCTGATGTCACTTTTATTTGACTATGTTATCTGATAGTTGAACTTGTAGAACTGGTGGCTTAGAAGTGAATTGCTGCAATGTATTTCTGCGGTGGGCAAGGGAGGAGGAAGTGTACTTTGAGATAGAAGAATTTTATTTTAAATGAACAATTTTGCAGTTCTGTTGCTCTAATTCCCTGCTGTACGATGACAAAATAATAAAAAATATATATTTGTGTTTTAGACTTTGCAAGCTGACTCAGAAGACTGCTTATTGAGGCTTGATTTGTTGGTCTGGTTTTGGCTCACTATGCTTTCTTAAAGTCAGAATTGTAGTCACCCATTTCTGTAAAGGTGAAATTGAATCCTGGAAAAATAAACAAAGGTGAAGATTTACAGACTAGGTCTGCATGTAGAAATGGGTCAGAGGGAGTAAGCTTGTGAAACTGCTTTATCATTAGAATGGCTTGATATATACAGTCTGCTGCATAGTGTTAGAACTCTGCCATGCTTCTCAAGATCCAAAGCACTGAAGAGCCATTAAACTCCAACAGTAGAAATGGTAGAAATGCCATGGCACAATGGGATGGCTGGCTGCGTTTGAGGTGAAAGTAGTTATTTTTAATTTCTACACGAGGCTGGGACTGGAAAGTTTCCAAGGTCCCCAGTCAGAACAAAAAAAAAAAAGTCAGTCTTACAAAGAAGAGTGTGAAAGAAGTAATTAATGTTTTGGTTTCGGCTGCCGCCGGCAACAAAAACGCCACGCGGCCGCCCCCCCCCCCCCCCGCGGGCGGGGGAGTGTGAAAGAAGTAGTGGAGGTGAAAGAAAAAGAAGGCAGATACAGGAAATTTGGGCAGAAATAGCGGTATGTTCTCATAAAAGTGTCCTGCTTAATTTTCAGGATCTTGGGGTGGAAGAAACTGAAGGTACAAGGCATAGCCAAGCATCTTTGAGTCATAGTGTGAAACCACTCAACAGGACAACATTTCTGGAGCTCTTGCTCAGATCAAAAAAATAGAAGGGAAAGTATACCAAGAACAAGTGCACAGGGCACTTTTTTTATTATTGGTATGTCTAGATCTGTAAATTGCTGACATTATGATTGATTGGCTTGCTTTATTTTTATGTTTTCTTTTTATAAACTAACATTGCTCTTTCAACCTTCACAAGTCCTTAAAAAGCCCCCGAAATGTACACAAGGAAATTTTAGAGGATGGATTTGGGAATGGAGATGGTGCCAGTTCTCATGGTGTAAGGCAGCTGAGCCAGAAAGGTTCCATTTGTTTGAAACTGTGACAAGAGTGCCTATTCCTGCTTCAAAAGTGTGCCAGGGAGATGAATTAAGAAAAGTGGTCCTGTAGATGGCTTAGACCAAGGGAAACATAAAAGCATACCAGGCTTACTGTGGGGAGATTGAAAAATGGTGACCTAGCTGAATGCTTAGATAGGGGAGCTTTTTCAGGTTTTGGCTCTACAACTTAATTAAATGTCATTTTTTTTCTGATTAAAATGTAAAAGATTATATTAGTTTAATAAATAAGTACAGTAAATAAGCTTTACTTCAGATTGATGGTTGAGTAAAATCAGTTAACTGTGTTTTTCTTTTTTTCACTTGCTTCATATGTGTCTCAGGAGACCAAATTTAATTCAGGCAAGTAGCAAACAATGTCTGTCTACCAATCCTTTATGGCTGAAGAAGGTCAAAATCTAATTGAGTTCCAGTGTACTGGGTTCTGTCTCAGAGGATATTTTCTCTCTCCTTGACTTCCTGCATTCCTGAAGTATGTAAGTTTCAAGAAAAGTCTCTGGAAGATTATTTTTTTTTTTTAATTAATTCCCAAACTAAGATGGTACACAGAAAAGGTCATTTATATGTTAATGATGAAAGAGTCCTTGAATTCATAAATCATGCAGAAATATCTTGGATTTTGACTCAAAGACATCTGAGGAGTTAAAATAATAACTTCTCTTGTAAGATTTTTTTTTTAGGGAACCTTCATGTTTTTACAACTGGAAATTTCTCTGACTGTGAAAATGTGCCCTTCACCGTGAATGATAAAGTAGAATTAAGCTCAAAATTAGAAAATCAACTGAATGTCTGAAATGCTCAAATTAAAACTAGGGAGATGGTTTACTTCTGTGGGACTATTACACTAAGTCAAAAGAAGGGCTTCTGCCAACCATAGAACAGATTGTTTCAGGCCCTAATTTAATCTTCATACAATTAAAGAATGAGGTGGGCAAAAATAAACTGTAGATCTGAACTTTAACTCAAAGGACCACAAACTCGGTGAAGGTGGAGGGGTGGTGGTAGTAGTGGACAATATGGCAAAACACCTGAATTGTCATTCTGAATCCTGCTACATATTAAAATTCTGTATAATTTTTTGTCCTGAAAAGAAAGAACTTGCTTCTCTGGTTTGGTTCCATCATGACCAAAAGTGATAAATTTCCACTAGGTTAGTGGAAGACATGTAATGTGATTTCCAGCAGAGAAATAGGGCATCTTTTGAGTGTGTTTGTCCTTGTGAAATTTGAATCATTGGGTCCGAAATTTCATAACTTAGGGAGTTGAATCTGACTTGCCGGAACTGCTCGACTACTAGATCCGCCTAAACCCAATTTAGGTAAGATTATTGCTTTCCTAGTAAGTAGCAAAGCTGACAGTTTCTTTGATTCAGTTTAATGCGATTTAATCTTTTTATGTCAGCACTTTCAATTTTTCTTTCTGAAGAACAGGGAGATCAAAGTCAGCAGTGCAAAGATCTTGCTCTAAGTGATTGAGAGCTGACTAGTTCAGACAGCTTTCCTGACGCTTACAACACCTGAAGAGAAAATGCATGCTGAGTTGCATGTTAGATACTTACATTACAAATAAAACTGATGCTTCAAGTGCAATGAAGGTGTCCAGCAGGTACGAGGCAGAAATCACAGCCATCATATTCTTGCAGAGAAAGCAACAAGCTGCTGCAATCAACAGGCAAGGTACTGCTAAATGTTTTAGCAGATGAATCCCCCATGCTGAATAATGATCCAGGTCAGTGAAAGAAATCAAAACATTTTTCTTGTTTATTAAATTTTTCTATCACAGTGAATATTGTTTTATCAGTGCCCTCATGCCTATTGCTACATGGAAATATATGTTGGGGTAAATTCTGGCTCCTTTCACAATGGCTCTGTAAAAACTGTAATCAGAGACATCTGCTCTGTAGAAACTTATGCACCTCTTTAGCTTAGACAGGTCAAATCATCAAGGTTCATATCCACTTTTCCACAAAGTACAAATGGAGAAAAAGGAAATATAAGCTATACAGGCAAATTATTAAGTCAATAGGTGAGATTTCCATGTGCATCTAATTTATTCCAGCTATAGAACACCATACATGCATAATTTTGCTTCCTGTTAACTGCTGGTGCATGCCATAGACAATTTAAAGAAGTGCCTTGGGATTCAGCTGACTTTGAGGTACCCAGCAGGAAAAGAATACCATCATCTAATGTGTTGTGGTGTAAGGTAAGATCAAACTGGAGTCCTTCCGCTCATACTGAGGCAATAAATGCTAGTCTATAATTAAGTGTACTGCATATAATTCAAGAGAAGTATTAGAAATATTTTTTGCTTTAACTTGGGCTGAAATAGAGAAATTGCAAACTTTATTCCATATAGCATTTTCACACCTCTCTTAATTCCTGATTTACATACCTTCTTATATAAAATAACCAGTTCCCCCCCAAACCTCAACTCTTCCCTCAGACTTAAATCTTTTGGAACTTGATTTAGCTTTTACAAAACTTGAAAGTCGGTGGGTTTTTTTTATTTTATTCGGAGCTGGTTCTGAAGACTTTAATAATTGTAGCTGAGAACTTGAGTGAAGGAGTGTGTGACATTTATTCTGAATCAAATGGAATATGCATGTAATGATCTACCTGAGGAGTTGTAGTCATCTAGTACTTTGTAGCTAATGATAATTGTCTAACAAGAACCT